ATGGGTCAGTGAGGGATGTCGTGTCTCATAGTGGGGCTGGCCATGTGGTCCTCTCTGTGGATTGGCTACTCAGATCGGGGATATCGTCCTCAAGGCTTGGTGGGCCAGGATGTGCTCCACTCTCTCTTCCTCTCCCTTCATTTGCTCCCATGTGCTCTGATCAGACATGTCCCTCTCCCCGAGCTGCAGCTTCAGTGCCGTCCTCTGAAATAAATTCTGGGGGGAGGGGAAACTGTCCTCGTAGTTGGGATTGGGGCCGGCCCCTCAGACCTCTTGAGACAATTGTTTCTGGAAGCAATCAGCCACCAATGCCATGTCCCCTTCTTAGTCTTGCTTCTCATTTCTCATCTATGGGGTCAGGTGAATTGAGATCAATTGCTGAGCTCTGGATTTAGCAGATCTCTTAATATTATAAATCCTAAGATCCTATGATTGATTGTTTATTTTTTCAGGAATGCAGTAGATTTTGGTGCTGTCAAGCAACCCATAATTTTAGGTTTTAAACATAACCTGTCATTAGACTTTTTCCTTTCCTTAGTTGCTCCATATTTTTGAACCCACCCTTGTGTTTTCTTAGAGCAATGGGAGTAACCGGGGTGAAGATGTCTTTTGTGATGCTGGCGATGAATGGGAACCTGACCTCACGACTGCATCCGCTTCCTCATTTTCTAAAAGGAGGTAACGACGTTTTTGTTTATGTTTTTTATATTCTCTGTATACATATCTATCATTTACTTATTTTAAAAGAACTATCTATTGTCATGATGGATTTGTCTGTGCAGGGAACCCAGAGATGTCAGGAATAGTATGTTACTGATCAAATTACAGTGTAGGGCATTAAATTGTGCATGAGTCAGAGGAAGAACAAAAATGTTCAGTATTTCATCGTGTACGTCTTATGAACAATTTAGAATGGCATAAATCTAATTTCCCCGAAAAAAGAACAGTATTTACTATTTTTAAATTACCAGTTGTCCTCAAGAACTTGGCATATTCTATGATATTTTATCCTAAGATACAGCACTTTAAAGACAGCCAGTGCAAGATGAGCACTGCAGAAGAATAAATCGTGGTGATAGAGCACTTCTAAATATGACCAATGTTGCTGATTAACTAAGACCATGAGAGACTTCCACATGAATAGATGCTTTTCAAGGAAAATCTAGTGTGGCTTACACCTCAGACATTTAGACTATGGAGAGGCACACAGTGTAATGGAATAGGCCTTGGTTTTCGGACCTGATTTAGTCTCTTAGTTTGCCTTTCTAACGAGTACTTCTTTGATGGCTACTCTTGGTCATATTCTTATGATACG